AGTTATGGGTGCAGTGGATACACATATACTATGGGAGAGGTAGAGATATAAGGGAAATTGAACCTAAACAGGCTTCGTAGATGGTGAAGAAGATCCTGAAGGCTAAGCAATACTCGATTGATGCAGGCATAAATCTGACAGAGATTCTCGATATGGAGAACTTATCCATCAAAAATTTACACATGATGCTAAGAGGAGAACAACATAAAATGCCATGGAAAAAATTTGTGTGCAACAATGGAGGAGTGCCCAAATGGATTTTTATCCTCTATCTGGCTATCATGGGCAAGTTGAGCACTAGAGACAGATTAGCAAGATGGGGGGTAACAAATGACTTACAATGTCCTCTATGCAACGTAGAAGAGGAGAGCATTGAGCATTTATTTTTCAAGTGCACGTATGCAGCTTCCTTCTGGAGAAAATTACTACAATGGATGGGTATTACAAGATAGGCCATGGAGTGGAACCACGAGATAGCTTGGGCATATTGCCATGCAAAAGGTAGATCAGCCAACGATGAGATATACAGAATGGCTTTAGCTGGTTGTGTCTACTATGTGTGGCAGGAAAGAAATGAGAGGATCTTTAGGGCACAACAGAGACAACAAGGGATGATAGTCAAGCTGATTATCCAAATGATATGTGGAAGAGGCTATATGAAGCCCAGACTCAGAAGAAGACTTGAAGAGTTAAACTTTTACCCATGACCATGAGCTGCTGAAAAGTACCACACTACACTTGTTTACTTGATTGATAGTTAGCTATTAGTACGGGTAGTATAGGATGTTAACTAAGAACTGGGAAAATGTCCAGCGCTTTGGTAATAAAATTTGATAATTACCAAAAAAAAGTTGCAGTTCAAGCAAATAGGATACATTACAAACGGTTGCATAAGAAAGAGGTAATTTGAAACCTCCCAAAAATAAAATGAGTAATTTGAAACCTAATATTAGGGACTGTTTACACTAATTCTAGAGGCAATGCACATAGGATTGCTATAAAAAACTGCGCATCATGCAAGGAAAGGCATACCATGTGTATAACCAATTCATTTGAGAAGTGTCTTTTTTAGTATTTATATATAAATCGTGTTTGGCTAATATTTACAAAAAAATGCTTTTGAGTGTCGTTCATTTCACAATTAGTATATTTAAATAGAGAATAATTTTAAAATATTCTTTTGAAAGACTTTGAATAAGTTTTTTATTTTAGTTAAAATTTGAACATAAAATAAAAAACATACACTAAGGTTTCTAATATGAATATAGTCAAACTATGACAGGGAAGAGAAGAGATATATCTAAATTTGAGAGAGATATGGGTTAAATTAACGAGAGATAATTTGGTAAATATATTTGATAAATATATTTGTCTTGAAAAAATTAATTTACTGCCTATGCTTATGCTTCTTGGAAGAAACAAAAATTTGTAATTGCTCCCTATAAAATCACTCGAAAGCACTTTTCATATTTGGCCAAACACCTCAAATCTCCAAAAATATATTTTTATTTTCCATAAAAAAGTACTTTCGGTTTGCGAGAAGCTTGGCCAAACAGTCGTATACGTTTAGCACAAGCTGCATTTTTGGAGTTAGATATTTTGTAATCAAATATGTTATCCGTACTTTAGCCTAAAACTTGAGTATTTCCAACGAAATTCACTTCCTTAAACCAATGTCCTCATTCAAAAATTCTGAACAGAAGATTTAAAAAGTGCAAGAATATCATACCTAAAACTCAAACTTGCCGCCATAAACAATTTTTGAGTCACCATTGCTGCTACACTAGGTGCTTCGTAATTCCACAATCCCTTAAATATATGAAAAGAATTATTTTTCTCCCATTCGCACAATATAATTTCAGGAAAAAAAAAAAAGGAAAGTCTGGTGCACTAAGCTCCTGCTATGCACTGGTCCGGGGAAGGGCCGGACCACAATGGTCTATTGTACGCAACCTTACCCTACATTTCTGCAAGATGCTGTTTCCACGGTTCGAACGCATGACCTTGTGGTCACATGACAACTTTACCAGTTATGCAAGGCTCCCCTTCTCGCACAATATAATTTCAACAAAGATAATTCAATTAAACTCCCTTCGAATCATGTCTATCCCGGCCTTAAACATCCATGAGAACTAACAAGATGATATTATTATGGGAAAACAAAAAATCAAAGAACCATTAATTATGCATCAAGAGTAACTCAGAAAATTTGACATGGTTTCAGGGCTAGGATAGGAGAGAGAGAGAAGGGAGAAACTTTAATGAAAAGATAAATTATAAAAAGGCTTTAAATTGTAAAAAGGCGTACCTAAACAGAATCAAAGAAATGGAAACCAGTAGAACAGTTCTACCTCTTCATTCAAATCTGCATGAATCCACAAATGCAAACTTAATTTCTGATAGCCACAGTCCACAAGTTAATGTGCCAATACTTATCATCCAGTTTAAGGAGATAACCACAATTCAAACCTGAATAAACTGGATAGGTCGGATAAAAACCTGTGCATGCGTACCAAGCATATATTTCAAGAAAGAACAAAATGAACGAAGGAACGACTAACCTCCCGCCATTGATTCAATGCCTTTCTACTCCACTGGGTCTTCTAAGCACTCAAAAATCCTCGCTAGATGTGTAGTTAATTATATTGAGAAAGGTAACAATATATTATTAAAATTTCTAGCACAAAGGCTGTGCTGAAGCCATATTTACAGAGCAAAGAGTTCACCAAAAAGATATCCTAAAAGGTCTTGCAAGGATTCAATGATATCTATTAAAGCCTCTACATCTTCCAGAAGTTCTTTACACCAAAAATAAAATAACATGAGACAGTTCTCTTAACTTACTGTAAAGGGCTGCATTTTCCTTTAAAACACCTTACACATGCTGAGATCGAGCTCCACCATCTCTTCGGCTTCACTGTACCTCCATGTTGTTCCAGCATTTCAGCAGATTTCCTGCGGACATAGGCTAGCCTACTTAATTCCTTTCATACTGAGAAACAATTGGCACAGCTGGTCAGTGATTCCAAAGTGAATGAAAAGGTGATATATTTCCAGGGCCATATGCATTGTTGACCAGTAGCATTAAAAACTGTATAGGCGGATATAACTGCAAATAAGCCTCTACTATGATGCTTCCATACAATTCTGTCTTCATTTGTTATTGTACCTTGAAACAACTCCAAGACCTTACAACAACAACATACTCAGTATATTCCCGCAAGTGGGGTCTGGGGAGGGTAGTCTGTACGCAGACCTTACCCCTACCTTGTCAGGTAGAGAGGTTATTTCCGAGAGATCCAAGACCTTATAAAGCTCAAATAATCCAGTTAATTCCCAATCATTGGGTAGTCTTCTGAAATCTAGGTTCCATCCATGTTGTCCCCGAACCTCTTGAATGGTTGCATCAGGTGCCTGGGCTAGACTGAATAGGACAGGGAATTGCTCTTAAAGGTTGTGTACCCACCATGTATCATTCCAAAAAGATATTTCCTTCCATTTCCAACATTGTAATTGGTGTTAGCAACATTGCCAGAGTCTCCCAATAGTTTTCCAAACACTAGTACCAAAAGCTGTTGTGAATTTTTGGTGCACCACTGGTCCTCCTGGCCATATTTTATACTGAAGACCCTTCTCCATAATTCTTGATCTTCATGACAGAATCTCCATAGCCATTTCAAAAGCAAACTCTCATTGTGCATTTTTATTCCCTATGCCTACCCCCCCCACACACACACACACACACTTGAAAGGAGACTTGTTGGGACTCTTTTCTACCGACTAATTATCGCTGAGACATTGCTTACACTTACAACATAGGAGTACATCCAGTCACAAACTACACGAAAGTTGTCCCTTTTTTACGGAGATTTATCCATCACAGAGGAAGAGAACGAACTTCATATATCCCTTTTCTACTCAATCCAGAAACAAGATCGGACGTTGTGAAAGCTCCTCTTTTCTTTGTTGCCCTCCCAAATAAAATTTCTTCTTAAAGAATCTAATCTCTTATGTACTTTTGCAGGCACCAGATGTACAGACATGATATATGTAGGTAAGTAAATCAAGAACAGAGTTAACCAAGACTACTCTGCCTCTCAGAGATAAATATTGGGCTTTCCATCTAGCGAGCTTCTTTTCGCATTTCTCCAGCACCACATTCTAGATGTCAACAATTTTCCTTTTTGCTCCTAGAGGCATCCCTAGATAATTTGATGGTAGGAAGCCCACTTCACATCCTAGAATCCCTGTCAGAGATTGAGTATTTGTGACTTCATCACTTGTAATAGAAGGCTCTTCTTCCAATTAACATGTAGTCCACAAACAACTTTAAAAACTGTTAAGAGTTAATCTGATCTGCCTGATTTGTTCCTCTTTTGCCTCACAAAATACCAATGCGTCGTCTGCATAAAGCAGATGGGATATCTCCATGTTGTTCCTGTTGTTTGATACCCTGAATCCCTTGATCTACCCATTTTGATTTGCCCATTTAACCTTGGAAATGATGAAGAGAAAAGGTACAAGAAATCTCCGTCTGAGGCCCCTATGGGAAGGGAAGAAACCTTCAGGCGAACCATATATTAATACAAAAACTCTCATTGTGGTGATACAGAAAGAAGTCTTGCAATCGGCTTTTTTTCTCGAATTTTACTCTTAGCAACTCCTATGTTCGAAGCAAGATGCTGTCTAATAAGACCACAAATTACAAATGTCTGGAAAAGCATAGCTATCATTATGGGAGAAGTTGAACGTTGAAATGATAATTGATACAACAAAAATAGAAACTATCAATTCTTTTTCTAAATTGGAAATTGATCCATTTATTTCCAAACCTTCAGATGTGTAGTTAATGAAGAAGTATTTTTGTGCTTGGGGACCTTTCAACCGGATATGCCCTATTTATAACTGTTCTTCCATCAGAAAATTTCTAGTAGTTCCTGTAGCGGGAAGCAGTTACTGACCATTTCCNCCCCCACCCCACCCAAAAAAACCCTAGTTTTGGTTGATGAAATTGGATTATGAAGCAGCAGAGGATTCTGAATCATCATTTCATCAGTAAATAACTATACCATGGACAAAGTTCACAAGAGCCACTAACTAATCGTATCAATAGACTACAACAAACACAACAAAAAAGAAGAAGAAAAATCTTCAGAATTTTATGCTTTTCGTAATCAAAAGGTCTGTTGCTCATTTTAGATGAAAAGTCAACTTTTTACAAAATACAAACCTTCGTGGTGCAATGAAAAAACAAAACTTTTCTGAAAAAACTTATATGGCCTACATAAAAAAGTTCCAAAAGTATTCCATTTTACATGATAAAAAAAGAAGTACCTAAAGTATGTATTCTAACCAACTTTCTCATTGTGTCCTTGTTACCTTTTCCGCTCTTTTCATTATTACCTCATCAAATACGAATCTTGAGCTTTCTGCTCTCTCTTTCACAGCAGATTTTGAAAATGAGCCCAATGTTAACTTGATTTTCTGAAGAATCTGTTAGTTAAGAGGAAAGATCTTCTGGTTAGTTGTCCTGAGTCAAGCATGCTTCATAAAGTGATATCCAACTGAAACAGATCACCTTCGGGGGTGCTTTTGTTCTCCATATAAGCTTCCAAGGCCAGTTATCCACCATTTCATTCTGAACACAATAGAATAAGTATCCTGCGTTAACTGAAAATTGACCATCTGGTTCTACCCTCCATCTTAAAGTGTCTGAAAAACATAACACGTCAAAACTACTGGCAATGCAACTTCCATCTGCATGGTGTGACCTCTGACCACAAGGCAAGACAGTGAAATTCTTTGTTGTATTATAAATATACTGCATGAAGTGGTAAGAATCAAGAGGCATCCATGTCATGCTTATCTTCTTAAATCTTTATGTTCCAAATTCTGCCCTTACCTCAAAGCAAACAGGGCAATTATGGTGCATTGCTCTTTCTATACCAATATAGGTCAGATATTCCATAGCTAATCAAACATAATAAGCATAATAAGAGCTTTTCTTACTAAATAAGTTTAAATTCAAGGTTAAGCATTTCGCTCACCACATCTGTCACAGTGAGGGAAATTTTCCTTGCCATCCGTTCTGGTTCAAATATTTTGAGCTGGAAAATGAAGAAATAACATATCAGACACAATAATATCACGCTGAAAAGATAAAGAGACATGTGAGGACCAACTAATGTAAGCAATTGAAATGGCGCTGATATAGAAAATTGATAGTCTAGAGAAAGCAACACTTTATACATCAGAAACATAGTTTGGCCACTTTGATGGGCTGGGATTAACAGTTTGACAGGGTTGCACAGTAGAATAACTAATCCCACGTTATCAAGTCTTTTCGAAAGAAAAGAGAAATCAGAACACTAGAAAACACTGAATCATTTTTAATCCATCTATCTGTAATCAACCACAAGCAAATGTTACATATCTGCTCATTGACGGAACATTATTTAGTGTTCACTTAAAACAAAGCTCCTTCCAAAAAGAGATTGCTGTCAGCCCATTTTATGCCCAGCGGACATATGTGCTTGACGTTGTGTTTATACTAATGGCGTAACTTAGGAAAATGCATTCAAGAACTGATAATGATGTACAGTATGAAAAAAAGTTTTTAACCAGCAGATTCCACATTTATCACGGTGGTACTGATTCTTCAAAACCTAAAGACAAAAATCATCTTGTTTAAGCATAGTGCAAATACTGAGCCAACAACATATTAGTAGAATTATCTGAAGAGACTTATATCATCATCAAAGAAGTTGCATCTTGAATAAAAGTACTACCTCATGCAAACCCCGCACTGAATGCATATTTGTTGAACCTAAAGGACAATCACGGACAGAAAGTAAATTTACCGAAGCTCAACAAAGGAAACTCACATCCTGTTCAGTATTACACAATGAGCAAATGACCTGAAAGACATACAAAGCAGCATACTCAAATCAGTCAACTAACAAAATCATGACAAACAAATGAAGTACAATCACTCTCGCCATCACTCGCACAATATATAATCAACCCACCAATCAACTATGCTTTAGTCCCAAATGAAAGCGATGGTGAGGAATATCGTGCCATTTGAATAAATCAACTTCAAGAGATTTCTGGTCAAGGATTTTTCTTTCATATGGTCAAGGATTGATAGAGCTACAATTAATTCTGAAAAACCCCCAAAATATTCAACTGAATAGGAAAAAGTTTCTACCTTTGAAGCCCTTCTCCAATCTCTTCCTCCAACAAGTTTTGAGCCAAATCCGTCCCATGTCTTCGTTCGTTCCTTTTCTGCTTCCACAGCTTTCTCTTGAAGAAGCTCATCACATGTAGCTTTTAATCTCTTTACTTCATCAACTAGATCCTTGATCTCCTCTTCAAGCTCCTCTAATCTTTATTTCCAGTTGGACATCAGATTGAAGAATGGATGGACAGCATGTTCTAAATTTAAGATATAGCTAAACTTGGAGATATGAAACAACACTACTTCCTCAAAAGTACCACATCAACAATCATACAAGCATGGTGGCATCACAAATGATTGACTACTTACCAAAACAAAAAAAAGGAGAAAACAAAAGGGGTAATGTCACGACCCAAAATCCCACCACAGGCGTCGTGATGACACTTAGTCTCTAAGACCAAGTAAGCCGATCATAATAACAATTCAAGCCATTTTTTTTTTGAAATAGATAATCGAAACTAACAGCGGCAATACTGTTCAAAATAGAGTTGACAGTACAATAAAATAGAAAGACTCCAAGTGACTGCGACGACCAAGCAGATCTGCCTTAAGTCCTTGCGATCACACTCTAACTCTGTCCAAGTCTGATATCTCCAATACCTGGCTCTGCACAAAAATGTGCAGAAGTGTAGTATGAGTACACCACAGTCGGTACCCAGTAAGTATCAAGACTAACCTCGGTGGAGTAATGACGAGGTACAGTCAAGACACTCACTAGTATAATAACCTGTGCAATATAACATACAAAAATAATAGGAAACAAATAGCAATGACAACAACAATAATCAACCAGTGATATAAACAGCAGGACAACAAGAACACCATACATATTGCTCAACAAATAATGAATACAAGTACAATCATTTAATCAAGTCCTTCAATTATAAATCTTTCACCTAAAAGTTTTTCAAATAATAATCTTTAGAATATAATCCTTACCAATAAATATATTTTGAATATACTTCTTTCAAATAAATATCTTTCAAATATAATTTTTTTAAATAAATATCTTTCGAATATAATTCTTTGAAATAATATTTTCAATATAATTCTTTCAAATATAATTTTTTTAAATAAATATCTTTCGAATATAATTCTTTGAAATAATATTTTCAATATAATTCTTTCAAATAAAAGTTATCTTGTGACACCTCATTTCAAAATCATAAAAATACGGGTCTCATCCCACTTCCATATTTCCACGGCACCTCGTGCCCATATTTCTATCACAACTGCACGGACAACTCACGTGCCAATAATATCAATGTATATAAAATCCACATGATCAATTTATTTCCACTAAAGTGAGTTTACAATTTTTAAATCAAGTAAGAAATCAACAAGGAAATGAATTTATTTTATAAACCATTTGGGTGAAGAAAAAATAACATTGCACTTAAATTAAAGCATCATATAAACTACTGATTTGGATGTAAAACTATTTAATTTAAAACATAATAATAATTTCTTTTATTTAAAACAACTCAATCATCAAAAATCAGTAAGAAAAAACAGAGATATACTTCTTCAGAGTCTCGTGCTAAAAAGCCAAAGCCAACACAATACAACTAGGAGCACAAAACACATAATAATAAAGTCAACTAGTACATCACGGAAGAAGACAAGAATTTACATATTAAATGAAACAAAATCACCAAAGACAAGAACATAAATAAAGAAATATCAACAGGGCACTCCCGAGATACCGCCTCGTAGTCCCAAATCATAAATAAATTCACAATATCTCATTTCCTTATATCACCGCGGGAGCCTCCACATTTAATTTTAAAGAAATCATTTTTCCCGAAATAGCATCCCGCGTTTTAGCCATCCTTATCACACCGCATGACTTCTAATAGTTCCCCTACTAGCCACGCGTTTCAAGCCACCCTTATCTCACCGCATGCGTTTCAACACCCTGACCTTATATCACCGTATGCGTATCAATATCACAATATTTCACAAATCGCACCTCAAGTGCCCAAATATCACAGCATAATACAACTTGCACCTCAAGTGCTCACATATCACAAATTGCACATCAAGTGCTCAAATCTTACAACATATCACAAATTGCACATCAAGTGCTCAAATATTACAACATATCACAAATTGCACATCAAGTACTCAAATATTACAACTTGCCACAGAAATCAACAATACATTATTTTTCCACAATAAGGAGTCACGACTCGATCATAATGTGCACAACATCTTAACAAATTGTTCGAGAGTGAACAACTCAACCGAATAATATTTCACAATTTGGCACTTTGCCTTAATATGATTCACGGCCTTTATAATTCAATATCAAATTTTCAACAACGTGAACTGAAAGTAATTCATCAAGGAACAACACCTCTTTTAAATCACAACTTCAGGAAATAAATAGATTTATTCATCTTATTAACTAAATTTTTCATTTAAATTATCTGTAGGTAAAATCAATAATGAAAGTGTTTTCCTTGAAAATGGCAACTCAAACAAACACAGAGTTCACATAAAAGTCAAGTGGCAATCACACCAAATTATTATATAAAAACAACATCGACAAACAAGGAATGAGGCATGACAAATAAGGGATTTAATAAGTCACAACAATTTTCCAATTTAATACTTAAGGGCGTCTACGAATTTCAACCGATATAATTTGCACATATAAACCAAGTACGTATTCGTCACCTCGCGTACATGGTATTCAATTACACAATTTCCACATAAGACTCAATGTCTAAGAGATAATTCCCCCACTCAAGGTAAGGCAAGATACTTACCTCGCTTCGTAACCAAATTCAAGATTCCAATAAACCTTTGTCTCGCGAATTCGTGTCTGAACGCTTCAAATCTAGTCACAAACAATTCAATATACTCAATACGAATCGTAGGAATTAATTCCATATGAAATTACTAATATTCCGTATTAAAATCCGAAATTCATTTTAAAAATCGACAGTGAAACCCACGTTTCGAATCCCTGAAAAACTCACAAAATCCGAACACCCGTTCCGATACGAGTTCAACCATACAAAAATTATCGAATTCCGACATCGGATTGCCCTTCAAATCTTCAATTAAAGTCTTTGAAGATTGCTACCATTTTTCAACCCAATCTTTACCCATTTAAACTTAACAATCTTCCCACAACATTATTGGTACAAGCATGTATAACTAATACTCTCGCATCCAAGAATCATCTTACTAATTACCCATTTCTAGTTAGATTTCGAAATTGAAGGATTGGCGAAAGAAATTCTTACCTCTTTGAAGCTCTAGCTTCCCTTTGATGCGATTTCAAGGTTTGATTCAAGGTAGAGTAGTGAAATCCTTAGTCCTTCCTTTCCTCTCTCTAGAATCGCTCTCCCCTCTCGTGGGGCGCCGCGGGGCGCAGGAAGGCTGTGTAAAAAGTGTCTGGAAATGACATTTTGAAACATTCTTGAATTTTCCACAGGCGCGGCGCATGGGGCGGCGCGGTAGTGTAAATTTCTGCCAGCTTTCGGTAATTTGGTCATAACTTCTTGTAGGAGTGTCCAAATGACGAACGGTTTGAAACGTTAGAAACTAGACTCGAAGATTTTTCATTTGATAGGTTTTCCATCACAAAACTCCTTATATATATGTAGATATGCTCATCCAAATTTTGGTCTTATGCGTACTCATTTGGAACTTTAGTTTATCATGAAATTTCCAACTTAACTTAGGTTTAGGCCTCTCCTTAGACCCCACATCACTTATAATATGCCTCGTACACTTATTATCATATCCAATTGATATCCATCATATTAATAGTCCTTGTTTGCACACAAAATAATATAATTAACACACATCAACTTTCTAATTTCGCCAAAATGCGCCGAATTGTTCTATGAACTTCCAACTCCAATTCCGGGCATACGCCTAAGTCCGAAATCACCATACGAAGCTATTGGAACCATCAAAGTTACATTCTGGGGTCGTTTACACAAAAGTCAAACTTCGATCAACTCATTTCATTTAAGCTTCCAAAACAAGAATATATTGTTCTTTCAATTAAATCTCGAATCGTCCAAAAACCAAACTCGACCGCGCGCGCAAGTCATACTACACATTACAAAGCTTCTCGAGGTCTTAAGCCGTTGAACGGGACGCTAATTCTTAAAACGACAAGTCGGGTCGTTACAGGTAAGCATAAAAGAAAATTTGTGACAGTACAATTGATACCAAACCAAGTTGTCTCGCAAAGAAGAAGAAGAAGTTGGATATTCATATATTGAAAAAGCAACAGAACCATTGTTATCTTGTAAGGCTCTACAGGCTCCAACAAGTTCTCCTTTGAGAAATGGCAAGTGTTACTGATATTAAAAAGACCAGCACTTGGAAAGTGCTGCAATTACATTCAAAAGTTAAGCAAAAGAGAAATTTTAAAAAAAACACTCTTTTGAGAAATGGCAAGTGTTACTGATATTAAAAAGACCAGCACTTAGAAAGTGCTGCAATTACATTCAAAAGTTAAGCAAAAGAGAAATTTAAAAAAAAAAATTAAAACCCTGACTATCTATACAAAAATTTCACATAACTGTAACACGGTTTCACTATCAACAATCTATTCCAATTTACACCAACAAGAAATCAGCCAAAAGCAATCAGATTAATCTTCAGAACTGAGTTCCTTTGCCTTCAAAACACCTTCTGTTTCTCTCTTTCCACCAGTTCCCTTAACTAATATTAGAGCCCGTTTGGATGAGCTGATTATAGATAGCTGATAAGCTTGAAGTGCTGAAAAGCATTTTTAAGTGCCGAAACTGATTTTTTAAATAAGCATTTACGTGTTTGGATAGATGTGCTGAAACTAATAATAAGTAATTGATGTGTTTGGTAGAAAAGTGATGATAAGCTGTTATTTTGTTAAAATGACAAATATATCCTTTAAACTTTACAAAAGATTATAAATTAAAAAGTTTCTTTGTAAAGAAAATGATGAACAACGAATATGGAATGAAGGGAAAGTTAGAAAATTTATTTTGGGAAAAATATTTTGTGAATTAAAAAATATTATTAAGGATAAACTAGTAAAAGCTTTGGTCAAACTAAAACTGCTTATAAGCTAAAAAGCCATAAGCTGGGAGCGACCAACTTATGACTGATTTTAGCTTATAAGCTATGAGCACTTTGGATATTTACCAAACTCATAGATAAGCCAAAATGTGCTTATAAGCTAGTTTGACCAGCTTATAAGCTTAGCCAAACACCCTCTTAGTCCTTTGGAATCCTCTATCCCCATTATTGAGCCAATTTGGATATATCTTCATAATCAATAGCCTTGAGAATCTTCCCGTCATATATTCCCTTCTCAATTTGTACTTTAGCACAGAAGTTGTCTGTATCAATCGCTAACAGTCTG